TTTTTTTTGTAGCTCAATTTACATTCCTTCCCTAAGCATCATCACAGCACACAAAATGCGATATCCCACCCAGTACACACTGCATAGTGACTCAATCATGCACATTACAAAAAATTTTCCTTTTCTAGTTCCTAGAATTATTTCCACCCCTGTTTCTGACCCTCTGTCCCTCCCTACCCTCCTCTCACACACCTCCGGTGTCCACAATTGTCCTTTATTCCCTTCCCACCTACATTGCATTGATCACACAATTTCCTACATTAACTACTTTGAATGGTGAGTTCACTCGTTACTACTAAGAAAACAAGTTTTAATTTAAATAAAAGAAATGCCAAGGAACTTTGCTTAAAGCCAGGAAACAGGTTAGAATTCTGTTCAAATGGTAGGTGCATGAACCTATCAGTCTCATGTACTTTTATCTTCTGTTCTGGTTCAATTTTCCTGATTAAATTCCGGGATATAATGTTCAACTCCAGACTTGTCCCTATGATTAAGTTGGCCACTTTCTTTGTTTTTGGACTCTAATTTCCATGTGTCTGTGTTTAATTTTCCTGACACAGCACATCCTTGAGAATTTCTTGGAGATCTGGTCTGGTGCTGGTAAATTCTTTCAGGTTTTGTTTATCCAAGAATGTTCTTGTCTTTTCTTCCCACCTGAAAGATAATCTTGCCGGTACAGTATTCTTGGCTGAAATTGCTTCTCTCTTAAAACTATGAATATATTTTCCCATTCTTTCCTCGCTCACATTGTTTCCAATGAGAGATCTGCTGTTAGCCTGATGGGATGTCCTTTGTAGGTAACTTGATGTTTTTCTCTTGCCAATCTTAGTATCTTGTGTTTGTCTGTGGTTTTGGTCAATCTGGCTATAAGGTGTCTTGGAGAATATCTTCTTGGGTTGATTCTATTTGGGGTCCTTTGTATTTCCTGGGACTGGATCTTCAAATGCCTCTCTAGGTTTGGAAAGTTTTCTTACAGGATTTCATGGAATAGATTATCAATGCCCTTATGGGTCCCCTCATCTTCTGGAATGCCAATTATCCTCCTCTATTCTCCTCTCAGGATCTTGGGCACACATGCACACACACTTGGTGTGAGTTTAAGCCACTGGGTCTTGAACTTGTACCATGTTTGACTACATGGGAGATCAGCGACATAGTCATTATGCTAACCGCTGGTCCCGATAGACACATCTATAGGTTGAGTGCAGTAACTAGAGCAATAAAGAGAGAGAGATAGACAAAAAGGGAGAATTCGTCCTTTCTTGGGGCAAAACCACACTGCTATCCCTCCTTGTTCATTCTCCTCTCAAGATTATGGGCACAAAGGCATATACAACCAGCGTGAGTCTCAAGATCCCGTGTCCAGGACTCAAACCATGGTTGACCATTTGGGAGTCCAGTGCCTAGCTAGCTTGCCACCTATTGGCCCCACAACTGTTTAAGAATATAGATGACCAATTAAAAGTTCTGCAATCTACAGTAACTTTGTTTTAATGAATATCCTTTGTCCTCTTCATATAATTATTGTACTCTGGTTTGTATCTCTAGGCAGTTTCTACACATTTAGGTAAAGCATTTAGCAAATTCATAAATTTAAATTATGAAAAGGGTATAATAATAAAATTTCTGGAGTGGAAAAATAAAGAAAAAGAGAGATATTAGATCAACACAATTTAACACATCAAGACACTCCAGAAAGCAGAAACTCCAGCTAGCAGAAACAAGAATATTAAGATTGGAATGGAGGGAAGAAGATTCCTCATGGCTCCTGTGATCTAGGTATTTCAGGGCACAGGAGAAATGAAGATTTTCTACTGATAATTCAGTCGCCAACAAACAAGCTAGTGTGGGAGGAGATACCAGGCTTTCAGAAGAAGATTCCTCATGGCTCCTGCAATCTAGGTATTTCAGGACACACGAGAAATGAAGACTTTCTTCTGATAATTCAGCCTCCAGAAAACAAACTAGTGTGGCAGGAGAGGCCAGGCCTTCAGAAGAAGATTTCTTATGGCTCCTGTGATCTAGGTGTTTTTAGACGGATCTAAGAGCACTGTAGGTAAACATCCAAATACTATTAGGGTTAAAATATTCCTCAATATCTACTGAATCTGCTGCACCAGCAATCACAAAAGAACAGCAAAGAGATTCTAGATCACCTCTGTCTGCTTGCTCCTGAACATTCAGACTGAAATTCAAGAATTTGAAAGAAACACACCATCCATCAGATGACAAGAAATCACTGCCAGATCACAGGAAGTATGGGAAAGCAAGAAAATACCTCTCCTCCAAAGGAAAAGAGTAACTCTTCTTCATCCACCAGCAGTTCAGTGAAAATCATGGAAATGTCTGATAAGAAATTTAAAGCATTCATAACGTCGAAGCTAACAGAGATGGAAGAGAAGAGAGACAATGAACAGCTAAAGAGAAAGGAGAAAGAAGTTGATGAGTTCCAGGAGGTGAGGAAATTCTTGCAAGATCTAAAAGAGGAATTATACACTTTACAAAAGACTCAAACGGAACTGTTAAAGATGAAGTCTATAATACAGGAAGTCAAAATCTCCCTTGAAAGTATTAAAAGCAGACTAGATCATTCAGAAAATAGAATCTCAGAT